CACAAAAACAATGTAACCAATGTAACCGAAACTAAACAGCGTCTCTGCGCATTGAAAGACTGTCACTCAGCGGGCAGTTACACACCAACGGACTGTCTTTGAGTGAGTCATTAAACCGTTCATTCAACGAAAATGTTCAAAAAAGCTGATTCCTTAAATGATAGATGTAATGAAACAAGGCGTTCGTTTTTTTTGTTTTTTTTTTATTTGAGGTCCACTTTTCAAGGCTCAGCTGGCCAGCAATGCTTCACTTAGACCAATGCGTGACTCGCTGCTTTCCCCCCACGGCTTCCTCGCGCTGTGTAATGCTGACCAGCGCTGACGGCATTCATGGTAAATACCCTTACACGTTAAAAGGATGATACGACAAATATTTCGCTTTCTTTGGAAACGGCAACCTTTTCACGAATATACTAGGGATGTGCACGAATATTCGAATCTTGAATATTCGATCTGTAATTATTATTCGAAAAATAAAATACTATTCGAATTTTATCGAATTTATGAAGCCGTAGCCTAAATGCTTTGCTGGCCATAAATGCAGTGAATCCCTGATAAATCCCAAGCACTAACTCGCAGTTATAACTAAATCCTCTGGGTGGCGCTGTGGTGCGTGTTTAACAAGTTGTTTGTATTTGATCACATAATGTCGTCGTCGTCTGCCTCGCGAAGTTTGGAATTAGACTACTAGTTGAAAATTATGTTACTAAATGATCTTACAGAAGGGAATTACTTTTGATCAAATGAATTAATTAATCTGAGTTATAATATTATCAACACAATGAGAAATCACATGAAAGCCAAACAGCAGGCGACTGAGGAAAGACAGCTGTCCATCACTACGACTGCAGGTAAGTGCAGCTGTAGCGCGCGTGATCTGAGAGATGATAACTTATCTAATAGCAAAAAAAATTTTTTCGACATATACTTCCCTTAAGTTTCATTGAGAGAGACCGGTTTAAGAACAGAAAACGCAAAGTGCTGTTAGAAACTTATAACACCGTGACCGTTTGTGTCTCTGAATCGTCTGTCAGTGCAGCGCGTTTTCTCACTCGAGCATAAATTGCTGGCGGCGTCCCTGCATGTGGACATTATTGTTTTTCTCAACATAAACGTGAAACAATATACACGATAATCATGCTGACTCGAGTGTGTGTGTACGTTCTGAGCGATATCTGGCGCAGTCTGCTACTCTGCTTTATTAGGCGTTTTTTTTCCGCTCGCGCTGCTTGAGCTTAAATCCTTTTGTTATTTATATTTTGTTTACACATAGGCCAACTGTTTAATGATTTCAACTAAAAGAAAACTTTAACATATATTGTAAGCTTGTTGTGTATTGCCTAATCGTAAGCTTGTTAAGAAATGGTGACAAAAGTTTTGAAAAATGTACTTAAAAAATAACGTCTTTTTCGTTAAATGTCATTTAAATAGGCTAAACGAATATTCGAATGTATTATTTTTGAAAAATGCCCATCCCTAGAATATACATGACTTGACTTCAAAGACAGAGGGAGGTAATCGCACGCGCTCAGGCGATCTCATTCACTGTCTGTTTAGGCTTAAGTCCAAATCCACGAAGCCTCTGTACAAATCACCATGATAAACAGTCTTGTTATCATTATTAACTTATTTAACATTCAATACACATGGTACGAACTATGAAGGGTGGCCTTATGAAAAAAGAAAACGCGGTTGCTGCGGTTACTTGCATTCCTCTGCGGTTGGCCTGTCAGTAGCGCGGTACTGCAATATTGCGGTTATCGCGACAGCCCTAGTTGCAGCTTAACAGGTTAATAAATGTTTATTAATTTTATTGTGCTATTACGGAGTTAGGCTACACCTTATTGTGTTATTACAGAGTTAAGTATCTTTTCTAATCTCTCGCATCGTTCGGTCAGAACTGTGCTGGAAACTGCAGGAACACATGATAGAGCGATCGATACGGTCTTCTGTTTGATCTGGATCAGCGAGTCTCTTACTGTAATATAATGTTTGCTCTTCACGTGCACCGCGGTGTAAAGCGCTTTACTGGACTGGATTTAGAAAGGCCTGGTCTGGATAATCTCGGCACACAAACACACATCACCTGATTACACGTCAAGCCCTTCACAAAGCCCTGAGTGTTCAGCAGGACGCCCATGATGATTGACTGTGCTTTATAAACTCTGTGTTTGATATGGAGAACAGAGTCCTGTGATAATCTGCTGAACTGGGTCAGGACGGCCCTCCTGCACCCCCAGTGAATCATGGGAAATCCTCCCTGCCTCAGTGATAGTCACGCAAATCTGCCGGGTTCATATGCGGAAGAGCTCAGATCATGCCTGACGCTTTGTGTTTTAAAGCACTAGATGGTTTTAAGAGCGATTGAGCTTTTCACAACTAGACTAGCGGAGAGAAAACAAGTGTTTATTTTATTGCTCTTTATCTATAAGCGTCTGTAGATCTCAATCTGTGGTGAGTTTGAGTCAGAAATCTCCACTTCAGCAGATTTACACACACCAGACTTTACAGTTTTATTCATATCTATATTCTGAAGGCTTGTTCATGTATCATCCCATGATTTACACATTTTACTTCTTATAAAAATGGTGAAAACGATTTTTGGAGTGATAGAAAGGGAAATCCAGAATCCTCTCTGTAAAAACCTTTAATATGGTGACAAAATCAAACAAGAATTATGAGCCTGACTTTATCCAAAGTTCACATTTCTGTTCTGGAAACTAGGGCTAATAGTCGGCGAGACGAGGCTTAGTTTCATTAGTCGGTTATGCCAAGTTCACACTGCACGATTTTAGCGAAATCGCTGACAAATGCCTGAAATCAGAGGCAAATGTGAAATATCTGGACCTGTCTGCGATTCAGAGTCCTGCTGTGTGAGTGTGTTCTGACTGAAACTTACAACCAACGAGAGAGCAAGATACAGGGCAGTGGGAAGCTATTAGCTATAGACCAGAATATCAGTATTTACAATTATACCAAGCAGAAATAAAGCACAAACATTTGCTTGACCAGCCGCACATCGCAAATGTATTTATTTATGAACCTCCAACTCTCTGCCTGCGTCTCCAACCATTTCCTCCATCTTTGTTCCTTTTTCTGCTTTATTTTATTCTCTGCGTTATGTGAGAAAGCGGTGTTCTTTATAAAATAATCACTTCAGAAATAGTGGAAATTGCATTTATTAGGATAAATGGGATATTATAAACTATAGCCTAGCCTACATGCGTCACGATTCCTGTCTTGTGTTTTCCTTGTCTTGTGGACTTTTGTTATTTCCTGTAGTTCTGTGCCATGTTTTGTAGTTCTTCTTGTTTATTAGTGTCTCCGGGTGTTTCTAATTAGCCCCGCCCCCTTGTTATCTTGTTTAGCTTGTTTGTCCGCGTATTTAAACCTCTGTGCTCCAGTTGTTGCCATAGTTTGAGCAATCATTCACAATCATTCCCTTTAAATACACTCCTGTAGCCTAATGGTTTGCCAGCTGATGTACCTTTGGTTAATATAATTAAAAAGTAGTTTCAATTTTATTCTGTGCATGAAAACACTTGAATTGGTCCAATTGAACACTGGGTGTATTAACTTCAGAATTATATTCGTATATTGAGATGAAAAGACGTTTTTTTGGGGGGGGGGGGGGGGGGGGGTTGCAGAAATATATAGAAAGCTTGAAATATCTGCTTTTAAATGAACCAATTCGAATCGAAAACAAACACTGATTATGTAATCCGTATGAAAGGAGATGAGAGTCAGCATCCTCAACTAGGCTACATCTCTGACACACAGACTCAGAAAATACTAATTTATCAATAAACCATTATAGTGTAATGGTGTAATTATAGTGTAATTATCCTTGTTATTTTTCCCCGACACATTCATAATCAGTACTTTTGCCAGTGCTTCACGGCAAGCTTTATGCGTGAGCTTGACTGCGGAATAGGCTATTCCACCCCTAGTATATATTTAAGTAATTAAATTAATATAAACACGTGATTAGTCGACTAATGGCTTACATGAACAACTAGAAACATTTTTAGTCGGGACAGCCCTATTGGAAATGAATGCAAATTAGTATTTAATTAGATAATTTGCTTATTTAAACAGCATTTTCAGGGTAAACTTGTAACACACAATAATTTTTTTAATGTAACGTTACTGTGATTAATCAACTAGGGAAGTATGGTGATGTTTATGAATTGTTGTCTGTCTCTTTAAATGCTCAGGATTGATTCTGATTGGCTGTCAATGTTTTATCGTTCATCAACTGAAAGTGGTTTATAGTTGTGGTGTGAACTCTACTATTCTTATAGAATTATTACAACTTTATAGCTATTGTTATCATCCTTGGTGTGAACATTTTTCCTCAGAATTGTAAGATATAAATTGATAATTCCCTTTGTTATTATTTTTATTATTCCGTGAAGGAAACAAGCTTCCATACAAGTTTCAAGTTTGCTTTATTTATATAGCACCATTAAAACTGCAGAAGCTGATTAATGTGCTTTATTACAACATCAGATCAAATACATACAAGCAAAAGCAGTAGAAAACTAATTTCACAAATAAAATCAGAGACCATTTTCAAACTAACGTTAAATAGCTAAAGAAAAACAAAATACAAAAGTCAAATACAAAATGAATCATCAGGGAACATTAAAAGGAATGGAAAAATAATGAGTTTTAAGCTATAATTTAAGCTAAAATAATGAGTAATGAGATTTAAAAATCTGTCAGTGAAAATCTGAGTGTGTGTTTGACACAACAGCTGTTGATCGCAGTTCTGCTCTGATAAATGAGTCAAGGAGTGTTTTATCTGTTTTGTTTACACTTTGCAGCCGTGTGTGTGTGTGTGTGTGTGTCCGAGCCGCCTATCTAGGCTAGACCGCATATGTGCGCTTCAGTCGCGCTACTGAGGGGAATGACCGTTAAACTGGCGCGATTCGCGCGAAACGCTCCTCAGTGTAGCTGCTAGTTCGTTCACTCGCTGTGTGTGTGTGTGTGTTTACCTGTGGGCACCTCCACCTGGTGTCCTCGCGCCACATCTCTCCAGTAGCGCAGGAGTCTCTCCTGGTCCTCCTGGTCCTCCAGCTCCTCCTCGGGACTGTCTGACAGCTGATCCTCCGACACGGACTCCAGGTCCTCCAGCGAGATCATATCCCCACCGCCGCCTCCGTTCATCCGACACCCGCCGCGATCCATCGCTCGATCCGTCGATGACGAGCCCGCGCGATCGTGTTCAGAAGCGCCCTCACTCTTCGGTCACACGGATTTCACCGTCATGTCCGTGTACCGGAGCACAGGAGGATATTTAACATTGGTCGCTAATCTCGCGTTATTAACAGCGCTCAGTTCGTACGTGTTGTTTTGCAGGCGCGAGAGTCGTGACGTTTTTAAGGGCGGGCTGACTCGGGTTACGTGGCCGCAGAAGCCCCGCCCCCCGCGCAGAATAATAAACATTCATCACTCACTCACAGCGCTCATATCTAAACATCAACTGTCATAACGACGATTACAGATTATATGTATCCAAAATAAGGATCTAAGAAATCATCTAATGTGTGTGGTAACATGACAGAGCAACAGTCTCTGATGGATAGATTCTGTAATGCCTACAAATGCTTTAATGAGCCTTGATTTAAATGTACTTTACTTTATGGAAGCCCTTTCCCCCACAAACATTCTGCTCTGGTTAATCTTATTTGTGATTTTAAAAGTCATAATTATGACAAAAAGTTAAAATTATGACATAAGTTATAATTGACATACTAAGTTGATTATGAGATTAAAAAGTCGAAATTGAAGTAGCAATAACTTTGTCATAATTTCGACTTCTGTTATAATTATGATTCACAAAAGCATGATTTTTCCCTACAAGTGTGTGTGTGTGTGTGTGAGCGAGAGAGAGAGTGTGAGAGAGAGTGAGTGTGTGTGTGTGTGTGTGTGTGTATATGTTTTATATAGGCTTCATTCACTATCTAATGTAACTGATTAGGTCTTGAACTGCTGCTGAGTTTGTCTGGCGTGAATAGAGATTTTCGAATAGAGATTTTCAGCTGAAGGTTCAGGATTATTCCAGATCTGGATCACAGCATTAGACGAGACATGAAACGCTTCATCCTGCAGCATTAGATGAGCAGTCACCGGTGACATGATGAGTCTGGGTCTGGACAGCATCAGTGTGAGCGTCACACACTCATCAGTTTACCAGCGCTCGTCTCAGTGTTTATCTGATCGTGTCCGTGTGTGTGTGTGTGATTCGCTACGGGCTCAGTGTGTCCCTCAGGGGTCCTGTTATCCGGATCCGCCTCTTATTCCTGTGTTCCTGGATATTGAAGCGCATTTACATTTTCACATTGTGTATATTTGAATCACATATACAGTCATGTTGTTCTGAACGCTGTATAGCGGGCCAGATATTTACATTTTGCTTCATTTATAGCGAAAAAAAAGAATAAAATAACAGAGTACAGAAACATGTATATGGTCTAAGGTGAAGCTCTAGTGACTCTTAATGAGTAAATCATATTTCTACGACATTTAATCATTTGGAGCATCTTGATCTCGTGATGTGTTTGTCCGTATTGGTGATCGGGGAGGTTTGCGATCAGAAAAATATCCTGAAAGATTGAATGTACATTTTCACAGCAGGGCAGCAAACACTATTACAGTGAGGATGAAAGATGAAGGTGTACGTGGAGAAGTGGCGTGATTGTGGGTTGAAAAGAGTCTGTGGGCTCCATTGTGCTGCTGAAATGAGTTCCACATGTTTTGCTCGCAGGTTTTAGAGAAGTTTACGTCCCGTCTGACCCAGATGAGGCTGTTGAGTCACCGCGACCTCCACTCCCTCACAAAGTACCAGATCATTCTGGCCCGGGAACAGTTCAGACGCAACCCACCGCCACACGTCCAGGTACAGCAGACACCGACTCACTGAACTGAACCGACTCACTGCACTGAACCGACTCACTGCACTGCAGCGACTCACTGAACCGACTCACTGAACTGAACCAACGCACTGCATCAACTCACTGAACCGACTCACTTAACCGACTCACTGCACTGCAGCGATTCACTGAACCGACTCACTGAACTGAACCGACTCACTGCACTGCACTGACTCACTTAACCGAATCACTGAACTGAACCGACGCACTGCACTAAACCGACTCACTGCACTGCAGCGACTCACTGAACTGACTCACTGAACTGAACCGACTCACTGCACCGACTCACTGCACTGCACCGACTCACTGCACTGCACCGACTCACTGCACTGAACCGACTCACTGAACCGACTCACTGAACTGAACCGACCAACTCACTGAACTGAACCGACTTACTGAACTGAACCGACTCACTGCACTGCACCGACTCACTTAACCGAATCACTGAACCACCTCACTGCACTGAACCTCACTGCACTGCACAGACTCACTGAACCGACTCACTGCACTGAACCGACTCGTTGCCCTGAACCGACTCACTGAACTGAACCGACCGACTCACTGCACCGACTCACTGCACTGCACCGACTCACTTAACCGAATCACTGAACAACCTCACTGCACTGAACCGACGCACTTAACTGACTCACTGCACTAAACCTCACTGCACTGCACCGACTCACTGAACTGAACCGACCGACTCACTGAACTGAACCGACTCACTGAACTGAACCGACTCACTGCACTGCACCGTCTCACTGAACTGAACCGACCGACTCACTGAACCGACTCACTGAACTGAACCGACGCACTTAACTGACTCACTGCACTAAACCGTCTCGCTGCACTGAACCTCACTGCACTGCACCGACTCACTGAACCGACTCGCTGCACTGAACCGACTCACTGCACTGAACCGACTCGTTGCCCTGAACCGACTCACTGAACTGAACCGACCGACTCACTGCACCGACTCACTGCACTGACTCACTTAACCGAATCACTGAACAACCTCACTGCACTGAACCGACGCACTTAACTGACTCACTGCACTAAACCGTCTCGCTGCACTGAACCTCACTGCACTGCACCGACTCACTGAACTGAACCGACTCACTGCACTGCACCGTCTCACTGAACTGAACCGACCGACTCACTGAACCGACTCACTGAACTGAACCGACCGACTCACTGAACCGACTCACTGAACTGCACCGACTCACTGCACTGCACCGACTCACTGAACTGAACCGACCGACTCACTGAACCGACTCACTGAACTGAACCGACTCACTGCACTGCACCGACTCACTGAACCGACTCACTGCACTGCACCGACTCACTTAACCGAATCACTGAACCACCTCACTGCACTGAACCGACGCACTTAACTGACACACTGCACTAAACCGTCTCGCTGCACCGAACCGACTCGCTGCACTGAACCGACTCGCTGCACTGAACCGACTCGCTGCACTGAACCGACTCGCTGCACTGAACCGACTCGCTGCACTGAACCGACTCACGCCACTGAACCGACTCGCTGCACTGAACCGACTCACTGCACTGCAGCGACTCACTGAACTGAACCGACGCACTGCATCAACTCACTGAACCGACTCACTTAACCGACTCACTGCACTGCACTGACTCACTTAACCGAATCACTGAACTGAACCGACGCACTGCACTGCAGCGACTCACTGAACCGACTCACTGAACTGAATCGACTCACTGAACTGAACCGACTCACTGCACTGCACCGACTCACTGAACCGACTCATTGAACTGAACCGACCGACTCACTGAATTGAACCGACTTACTGAACTGCACCGACTCACTGCACTGCACCGACTCACTGAACCGACTCACTGCACTGCACCGACTCACTTAACCGAATCACTGAACCACCTCACTGCACTGAACCGACGCACTTAACTGACTCACTGCACTAAACCGTCTCGCTGCACTGAACCTCACTGCACTGCACCGACTCACTGAACCGACTCACTGAACTGCACCGACTCACTGAACTGAACCGACCGACTCACTGAACCGACTCACTGAACTGAACCAACCGACTCACTGAACTGCACCGACTCACTGAACCGACTCACTGCACTGACTCACTGAACTGAACCGACCGACTCACTGAACCGACTCACTGAACTGAACCGACTCACAGCACCGAACTGAACTGAACCAACCGACTCACTGAACTGCACCGACTCACTGAACCGACTCACTGCACTGACTCACTGAACTGGACCGACTCACTGAAACGACTCACTGAACTGAACCGACTCACTGCACTGCACCGACTCGTTGCACTGAACCGACTCGCTGCACTGAACCGACTCGTTGCACTGAACCGACTCACTGCACTGACTCACTGAACTGGACCGACTCACTGAACTGAACCGACTCACTGCACTGCACCGACTCACTGCACTGAACCGACTCGTTGCACTGAACCGACTCGCTGCACTGAACCGACTCGTTGCACTGAACCGACTCACGCCACTGAACCGACTCGCTGCACTGAACCGACTCACGCCACTGAACCGACTCGCTGCACTGAACCCCACTGCTTTAAACCGTCACACTGCAGTGATCTGTAGATGCGTGTGTGTTCTGTCTTCAGGGGCCTCAGCAGGGGCCGATCGAGGGGGACTTCGCTCTCTGCATCAGTCTGTATCATGGCTATGAGTTACTGCAGCAGATGGGCATCAGATCGCTCTTCCTCTTCATCCAGAACATCTTCTCTGGACCCAAAGGTGCTCAGATACTCCTACACTGGTGCTGTTTGCTGCTGATGCTCCTCACGTCATGAGGGTTTTTCTGTCTTCTCAGAGTCGTCTCGAGCGAGGAACGAGCTTCAGAGGAGCCCAGTCTTCATGGACCTCTACAGGGAAATGGAGACCATGTTTGCCTCATCTAGCCGAGGTGATTAATACTCTGTTCACTCGTTTGATTAATACTGTTCACTCAGTTGAGTTTGTGTAAGAATTTGTGTATTTAATATATCATGAGTCATCATAATATATTAAATACAGCGTATTGTGCAGAATCTGCTCATATGCGGCTTACTTGAACATGACCGTCACTACGCAACAAATACCGGCGTGCTTGTTCCTTTGAATTGAAGCAATAGCGAAGATTATAACATTTGGTTAACAGAAAAGACATTGTTATTTGCCTGATTCTACCTGATGTTCATGAGCGAGTGTGTTTCATCCGCAGGGCCTCAAGATCCATACGTCTACAGTCACCCCAAACTGCAGAAACTGGACGAGGTGGTGCTACGGCACTTCCAGTCACGGGCCGAGAGCTCAGGTGAGACCGTCCTGTCACCGGCGGGACACCAGAACTGGGGTTGGGTCAGTGTTGTTCAGGGAGTGTGTGTCTCTCGCTGTGGCTGATGAGTGTGTGATCGGACAGATTCTGAGGTCAGCACACGCGTCATGATCTTCTCGTCCTTCCGCGAGAGCGTGCAGGAGATCGCAGAGATGCTGAACCGCCATCAGCCGCTGGTGAAGGTCATGACCTTCATGGGTCAGGCGTCCGCTGGGAAAGGGGTTCGAGGATTCACGCAGAAAGAGCAGCTGGAGGTACGTGACCGTGTGCCAGTGTTCATTTCATTGATGAATCATTTTCAGCATTATTTTCGTCAACGACATTTGTTCACAGATGAAAATGAAACGATAACTAAAAAAAAAAACAGTTTTGAATGACAAAAACTGTGACATTTTCGTCAATGAATAAAAACAAGACGGGAATGTTCGGTAGGGCCGATGTGTGCAGAGATCCGGTCAGAGCTGAGGACTCTCTCTTTCACGTCTGAATGGACAAATACACACAACATCACGTGTAAATGTCCGTTTCGGAGCGTATTCCCGTAAACCCCGTCGGTTATGCCTTTACAGAACGTAATTGTGAGAATATCGGATGTGCATCAGTGCAATTAGATCCGCACAATTGGTCTTAAAGTGACAGTGCGTAATAAACCTAGTGCCGTCTGTACACTTAATATTAATCAAACAACAAAAGAAAAAGAGAAAAGCATTCACTGCTCTTTGATAGCTTTAAAAATGATTAATTATATTTAATTTATACAAATAAATATGTCTGCTTGAAAGAATAAAGAATGACGTATGCATGTTGTTATAAAGAATGCATATATCATTCACTTAAAAAGACTGTTCTACTTTAGGAGAAGTGGTTTTATTTAATTTAATGTCACCGCAGTTAAATCTGTGTCTGTATTGCATGTTCAAACTTTATAATCATTCATATTAACAGGTTAATGTTTTCTCCAGGAGTATATTATGGGTTTGGATGGAAATTTTTGCTAAATTCTAAATGAATGCATTACAATTTAATAGGGGTGTAACGATATTCGAACCGAACCGAAAAACCGCGATACAGAACACACGATTCGAATCGCGATACTCTCATTGCGTACCGAACACGCCCCTCCGCGCCCCCTGCTACCCCGGCCCCGCCCAGCCCAGCCCAGCCCGGCTCAATGGACCTCATGTCTTGTGTACAGTACACAACAAATTCAGTTTTGTAGCTAACCACCATTAACACCAAATAACAAGCTCCGTGTTTTGTTACTTTCGATAATAAGCAAGGTGTAATCTTTCAAATTTGTCTATTTGATACGAAATTCAAACAATAAATGGCGTTTTGGCGCTCTTTGATGTGGCGTGACAGATCGCTTTTCAAATGCGTGACAGATCGCATTTCAAACGGCAACGCGGCGCGCGGGTAAACGCGATCATCTCTTCCTCAGTTACGGAATGGACACCTGAAGGTATGTTGAAAGATGCAGTATACTTACTGAAAGGCATCATAACTCGTGTAATCGCTCAATCAGTGTTTCAGCAGCGGAAACGTCAATAAAACAGCATAGCTTGTCACTAGCATTATATTTACCTCAACAGGCAAGTGATTCAGTGTCCACAACTTCCTATAAATGGTTCCTATAAATGAACTCTTGCACCATGTTAGCCTTTTTTACTTTTTTAAATTTTACTTAACCTGTTAATGATATCTTGATTATTTAATGTATGTTTAAAATATCTTTCATGAAAATGACAACTGTGTAAAGTATTATATTTCAATAACAAATTAGAGTAAAACACAAGTTAATGCAAAAACTGCCTTGTGTTCAGTTTACATGTTTTCATACAATGTGTTGTGTGTTGATTATTATATCTAAAAAATAAATAGCATCTGAATTTAGGTTAAAAGTCTAGGCTACAACCTTTAATGTTATAGTAATGTGCGGCTCCCTATATAGTTTACAGATTTAGCAGATTTTTTTTTTAATCCTTGTGAAACGTTTAATTGTAATTGAATTAATTTAAAGACAAAGACAATTTTTTCGTTAAACCACTGTTTAAAAAAGAAAAGGAAAAAAAAGAAGCAATTTTAGCTTTCTAAACCGAACCGAATCGAACCGAACCGAGACGTCAAAACCGTGGGAAAACCGAACCGTCAATGCTGTGTATCGTTACACCCCTACAATTTAACTAAACCCATTAGATTTTAGTCGGCTAAAATCTTATTGTATTCCGTCGACTTAAACTAAAAGAATTCAGATGACTAAAATATGACTAAACTAAATGGCATTTTAGTCGAGTCTCCTTCATCTATACAGCGCTTTAAGAATCTAGAGTTTCACAGCAGCTTTACAGTGATAACTGGAGATTACAGTAACAGAGAGTGTTTAGGCTTTACAGCAGCTCTAGAATAGAGTTATTGATCATCATATGTCCTTCAGCGTGTCGGGAGGATAAACCGCCTCTTGAATGGTGTGTGTGTGTGTAGGTCGTGCGCCGGTTCCGCGAGGGCGGCTTCAACACGCTGGTGTCCACGTGTGTCGGGGAGGAGGGCCTGGACATCGGAGAGGTGGATCTCATCGTGTGCTTCGACGCTCAGAAGAGTCCGATCCGTCTGGTCCAGCGCATGGGCCGCACGGGACGCCGGAGACAGGGCCGGATCGTGGTCATTCTGGCCGAGGGCCGAGAGGAGCGGGTGAGTGAAGTGTTCATCTGTGTGTAGTGTGTGTGTTGCTGTTCAAGCTCTGCACACAGGGAGTGCTTAAAGTGCTGGAGTTTGACTGTTTGAAATGTAAGTCCTGGAAAACCCCTGAAAACAGCCATATTTATGAAGAGGTACTTGAAAAGTGCTTGACTTATTTAAATACAATATATATATTAAATAAAAAAATTCCAAAAAAAACCAAATACAATCTTTTCACGCAAAGTGAACACTGCAGCCCGCCTATTAAACCCCCATCAGATACGAAGTACGCCAAAAATATCCTATAAAATATTATTTATTGAACAATAATAGCCATTATAAACTTTGTATTTAATAGATATTATTAAAATAAGTTGTATTTTTGGATGCCTTATATCTGTAACTTGAGTTTAAAAAATCCTGAAGATATTGTTTGATAAGTGAGATCTCTGATTATAGTCCTTAAAAACCGAAACCGCAGTGCTTAAAGTCTTTAAAAGTCCTTTTTACAGTTTCTGTCCGAACCCTGAAAGCTCCAGTTCTCCTCTATATCAGTGTCAGTGTTCCTGAACTCCTGAAACGCTCCATTAATCTTGAGTTTCTCCCGGGAACGAACACGTCACAATATTCCTCATTATAATAATTAATGCGCAGAATAAAGGGGCGGGGCCTGGGTGAGTTAATCAGTAGTGTGTTAAACTGCCGGTTATGGGAAGAGGCGGGACATTTCCCAAACACACTCGAAGCGCTCGACCAATCACAACACACTGCTCCAGCCGACCAATCAGAGCACAGTGTGCTTTTCAGGAGGAGGGGCTTCATAGAGACAGGAAGTAAACAGAGCGTTACTGACAGACTGGGAAGAGAGGAGCCGCAACAATGGAGAATATGAGGAGAATAATCAACATTCAAGTTCTAGTAGAGCCAAACACAACATCAAGAGCATAATGTGGCCTCTTTAACATTTCATAGCATTAAAAAACCTCTCGCTCTCTTGCAGACGTATAACCAGAGCCAGAGCAACCGGCGCAGCATAAACAAGAGCATCATGGGAAACAAGCACAGTTTCCAGATGTTTCCTCACAGTCCCCGTATGCTGCCGGCGGGCGTCACTCCGGCGCTCCACAAGATGCTCATCAGCGTGGGTCGGTTCGAGCAGAACGCCGCCGGCCGCCGCTCCACGACGGGCCGCCGCTCAGCGCTGGGTCTCCAGACGGCGGGTACGACTAGCGCTCGCAGTGTGTTCAGCTCAGACGGCAGTCAAGAGCCTCTTCTGCATGAGTGCGAACCTCACAGAAGTTTGAAACATGAAAACACTTTACAATAAGGTCAACATTAGTTAATCACTGTGAGCTAACATGATCTAACAAATGAACAATTGTGTTTTTACTAGCGTTAGCAATAATGCTTGAACCGTCATCCTTCCCTCGCACTCAGTAACACATCTATCCCTCGCCGGTCAAAATGACCCGAAGTCTTAAAATTTAACTTTTGAGTCCAGAAAGCTTACTTTATTTCATTTTGATATATATATATATATATTTTTGTTATTTTTTATTTTATTTACCTTTTCAATTACTAGATTTGATCAATAAAAAATAAATAAATAGTAATTTAAGCACATTCCTCACATTCTTTCAACTTAAATTCAAAATAACTCACAATTTCATGCATAACCCTTTTAATTCAGCTCTAAATATCTGACATTGGGCGTCTTTGACCTCTTGTGGGAAATAATAATAACACATGATATTTCCTGCCTCTAGATGGGCTTATAGCTCTATATGCAGCATGAGCCGTTCCGCTGGGTCCTAAAGCCAGTTCATTTCAATATGCATTCAGATACACATGTTACAAAATCATTTTTTGGTAAAGGGTTAGCATTTTTAGTTTTAGTTTGACTTTTGAGCATTTTTATGTTTTTCTATGTGAACTGAAGCATTCCATTCATTCCTAAGGGGCTCAAATTGAGGGAAGGATTAGTTACTTTTTTAGATTTCAGCCACAAAACTCCTCGAATCCATTCAATGTTTGTGTGTATTCGTGGTTCAAGCGCGACACAAGTCCCGGGGTCTCGGACCCTCTGATGTACACTCAATTTTATAAACATTTTTGAAGTGTTTTCGGGTCAAAATGCCCTGAGAGAAGGGTTGTCCAGCGTGTCTTGTGTCCTGCAGGAGCAGAGCAGTCGTGTGTGAAGGACGAGGGGTTTCTGAGCGCAGCTGAAGAGGTCGTGTGGAGGTCAACCATGAGGCTGGGAGAGGATGAAGCTCAGCCTGTGTTCAGACCGGCGTCTCTGATGACCTTCAGTGACCTTCCGCCGTCAATCCCAGCATCAGTGTGTTCACGGCACTCATGAACAGCAGTACCTCGGCCTGAGTTTGAGATTTATGTGTTTGACTTGCACAGGTTTAACATTACAGGAGGAGTTTTAATTCTGAAGTGAACTAATCCTTAACTAATAACCTTAATGTGATGCATATTTATCAGTCATGCACAAATGAAACGGGTAATATTTCTGCACTCAATCTTTGTTTGTTTCTGAGACTGACACTTTTTATCACAATTCTGTCTTGTTTTTCACAATTGCGAGGGGAAAAAGTCAGAGATAAAATGTCACAATTAACTTTTTGTATTTTTTGGTTCTGTGGCAGAAATAAGCTTCCATGATTTATTAACTATTTGCATCTATTTACATTTTTTTTTAATCATATTTTTAAATGCATTTATTCACATCATGCATTTAATCCACATAAATCTGTGTGAGTTAAATGTTTCTACATGGTTATAATATTTCTAGCTGTGGGACAAGTAAAATTATATTAGTTAAAATGCTTGATTTAAACAAATTGGATTTATTTTATAATAAATATATTGACCTGGCTATTGTGTATTTGAAACGCTGAGTTTGTTGGTGCGGTTACAGAAATCTGACCGGTTTCATCTGTTCGACTGATAAATGTGCATCACATGAGGTTAAAACTGGCCAAATGGATGGAAATTTCAAATGCAATTCAAACAAATAAATCTTAAATTTCGGCGTGTGTGTGCAGGAGCCGAGTGTTGTGGGGCCTGAATGTTGTGTGTGTGTGTGTGTGTGCAGGAGCCGAGTGTTGTGGGGCCTGAATGTTGTGTGTGTGTGTGTGTGTGTGTGTGTGTGTGTGTGTGTGTGTGTGTGTGTGTGTGTGTGTGCAGGAGCCGAGTGTTGTGGGGCCTGAATGTTGTGTGTGTGTGTGCGCAGGAGCCGAGTGTTGCGGGGCCTGAATGTTGTGTGTGTGTGTGTGTGTGTGTGTGTGTGTGTGTGTGCGCAGGAGCCGAGTGTTGTGGGGCCTGAATGTTGTGTGTGTGTGTGTAGGAGCCAAGTGTTGCGGGGCCCGTCAGAGAGCTGTCCCTGTGGGAGTGGAGGCACTGGCAGAACCGGCCGCTTCACACACACACTGTGGGACATTCAGAACGATGCCTCCATTTCACATCCATCATGGAGCTGATCGACAGACTGAGGCAGGAGGAGCAGGTGAGCGCTCGCACACACACACACACACACACACACACACACACACACACACACACACACACGTGTCCTGATACGGATCTCAGAGTCTTAGTTGTCAAGGTGAAGAGTGTTTGAACACTGTCTTCACGTCTCGGTGTCTCATCTGGCCATTAGCTGAATTGATTTTCAGAAATGTTTATGTGTGTCAGGTTCTAAGAAAGAGAACAGCAGCGTCTGACGGCAGGTTCCTCTACGCCTCGGGTGTCAGACGCAGCTGTGCTGAGACAACAGAACACAGCGATGTAGAGAATCAAAGCTGTGTCTGAACAAGTTCTTCCAAATCACAAGTTAAGCTTTCTATGAGATTTTGATTTGGCGCCGAAACAAAAACACCAACGTTTAAATTCATTTCTGTCACAGTATCACTGAGCAGCGACCAGATACGGGAGTCTCAACCATAATGGACTTTATCTGGACAATAACTTTATTCTAGAGCTCCTGTAAAGCCTAACAATCTCTGTTACTGTAATCTCCTGTTATCACTGGACACAAATCATCGCTGCTGTGAAACTCTATACTGTTACAGCGCTGTATAGATGAAGGGACTCGACTGACATAATGTGTTTTGACAAGATTACAAAAAGACTTGATTATGAAATAGTGCAGTATTTTACACCGAGTGAAACCTAATTGATGATGATTAGTAAAAGATGTAATGGGAGAAAGGCGATGGATGTGATTCATGGCTGTGTGTGTGTGTGTGTGTGTGACGTCAGAGAGAGAGTGGTGTCATCAGCCGTCTCGCTCTATACATGCGCTCTTATGTAAGGCTTCTCAGAACAGTTGCATAAGGGCTGGAAGTGGGTCATCTGAGTGACCTACATCTCCGACTGCGGGATTCTGTTCTCCGGCCCGCTGGTGTTCTCCGGCCCGCTCGTGTTCTCCGGCCCGCTGGTGTTCTCCGGCCCGCTGGTGTTCTCCGGCCCGCTCGTGTTCTCCAGCCCGCTGCTGTTCTCCGGCCCGCTGGTGTTCTCCGGCCCGCTGGTGTTCTCCGGCCCGCTGGTGTTCTCCGGCCCGCTGGTGTTCTCCGGCCCGCTGGTGTTCTCCGGCCCGCTGGTGTTCTCCGGCCCGCTCGTGTTCTCCGGCCCGCTCGTGTTCTCCGGCCCGCTGGTGTTCTCCGGCCCGCTGGTGTTCTCCGACTGCGGGATTCTGTTCTCCGGCCCGCTCGTGTTCTCCGGCCCGCTGATGTTCTCCGGCCCGCTGGTGTTCTCCGGCCCGCTCGTGTTCTCCGGCCCGCTCGTGTTCTCCGGCCCGCTCGTGTTCTCCGGCCCGCTCGTGTTCTCCGGCCCGCTGGTGTTCTCCGACTGCGGGATTCTGTTCTCCGGCCCGCTGGTGTTCTCCGACTGCGGGATTCTGTTCTCCGGCCCGCTGGTGTTCTCCGGCCCGCTCGTGTTCTCCGGCCCGCTCGTGTTCTCCGGCCCGCTGGTGTTCTCCGGCCCGCTGGTGTTCTCCGGCCCGCTCGTGTTCTCCGGCCCGCTGGTGTTCTCCGGCCCGCTGGTGTTCTCCGGCCCGCTTGGTTCTCCGGCCCGCTCGTGTTCTCCGGCCCGCTCGTGTTCTCCGGCCCGCTCGTGTTCTCCGGCCCGCTCGTGTTCTCCGGCCCGCTGGTGTTCTCCGGCCCGCTGGTGTTCTCCGGCCCGCTGGTGTTCTCCGGCCCGCTGGTGTTCTCCAGCCCCCTCGTGTTCTCCGGCCCGCTCGTGTTCTCCGGCCCGCTCGTGTTCTCCGGCCCGCTGGTGTTCTCCGGCCCGCTGGTGTTCTCCGGCCCGCTGGTGTTCTCCGGCCCGCTGGTGTTCTCCGGCCCGCTGGTGTTCTCCGGCCCGCTGGTGTTCTCCGGTTGTTCTCCGGCCCGCTCGTGTTCTCCGGCTGTTCTCCGGCCCGCTCGTGTTCTCCGGTTGTTCTCCTACCCTCTCGTGTTCTCCGGTTGTTCTCCGGCCCGCTCGTGTTCTCCGGTTGTTCTCCTACCCTCTCGTGTTCTCCGGTTGTTCTCCTACCCTCTCGTGTTCTCCGGTTGTTCTCCGGCCCGCTCGTGTTCTCCGGCTGTTCTCCGGCCCGCTCGTGTTCTCCGGTTGTTCTCCGGCCCGCTCGTGTTCTCCGACTGTTCTCCGGCCCGCTCGTGTTCTCCGGCTGTTCTCCGGCCCGCTCGTGTTCTCCGGCTGTTCTCCGGCCCGCTCGTGTTCTCCGGCTGTTCTCCGGCCCGCTCGTGTTCTCCGGCTGTTCTCCGGCCCGCTCGTGTTCTCCGGTTGTTCTCCTACCCTCTCGTGTTCTCCGGCTGTTCTCCGGCCCGCTCGTGTTCTCCGGTTGTTCTCCGGCCCGCTCGTGTTCTCCGACTGTTCTCCGGCCCGCTCGTGTTCTCCGGTTGTTCTCCTACCCTCTCGTGTTCTCCGGTTGTTCTCCTACCCTCTCGTGTTCTCCGGCTGTTCTCCTACCCTCTCGTGTTCTCCGGTTGTTCTCCTACCCTCTCGTGTTCTCCGGCTGTTCTCCGGCCCGCTCGTGTTCTCCGGTTGTTCTCCGGCCCGCTCGTGTTCTCCGACTGTTCTCCGGCCCGCTCGTGTTCTCCGGCTGTTCTCCGGCCCGCTCGTGTTCTCCGACTGTTCTCCTACCCTCTCGTGTTCTCCGGCTGTTCTCCGGCCCGCTCGTGTTCTCCGGTTGTTCTCCGGCCCGCTCGTGTTCTCCGACTGTTCTCCGGCCCGCTCGTGTTCTCCGGCTGTTCTCCGGCCCGCTCGTGTTCTCCGGCTGTTCTCCGGCCCGCTCGTGTTCTCCGGCTGTTCTCCTACCCTCTCGTGTTCTCCGGTTGTTCTCCTACCCTCTCGTGTTCTCCGGCTGTTCTCCGGCCCGCTCGTGTTCTCCGACTGTTCTCCTACCCTCTCGTGTTCTCCGGTTGTTCTCCTACCCTCTCGTGTTCTCCGGCTGTTCTCCGGCCCGCTCGTGTTCTCCGGCTGTTCTCCGGCCCGCTCGTGTTCTCCGACTGTTCTCCGGCCCGCTCGTGTTCTCCGACTGTTCTCCGGCCCGCTCGTGTTCTCCGGCTGTTCTCCGGCCCGCTCGTGTTCTCCGGCTGTTCTCCTACCCTCTCGTGTTCTCCGGTTGTTCTCCTACCCTCTCGTGTTCTCCGGTTGTTCTCCTACCCTCTCGTGTTCTCCGGCTGTTCTCCGGCCCGCTCGTGTTCTCCGGTTGTTCTCCGGCCCGCTCGTGTTCTCCGACTGTTCTCCGGCCCGCTCGTGTTCTCCGGCTGTTCTCCGGCCCGCTCGTGTTCTCCGACTGTTCTCCTACCCTCTCGTGTTCTCCGGTTGTTCTCCTACCCTCTCGTGTTCTCCGGCTGTTCTCCGGCCCGCTCGTGTTCTCCGGCTGTTCTCCGGCCCGCTCGTGTTCTCCGACTGTTCTCCGGCCCGCTCGTGTTCTCCGGCTGTTCTCCGGCCCGCTCGTGTTCTCCGGCTGTTCTCCGGCCCGCTCGTGTTCTCCGGCTGTTCTCCGGCCCGCTCGTGTTCTCCGGCTGTTCTCCGGCCCGCTCGTGTTCTCCGGCTGTTCTCCGGCCCGCTCGTGTTCTCCGGCCCGCTCGTGTTCTCCGGCTGTTCTCCGGCCCGCTCGTGTTCTCCGGCTGTTCTCCGGCCCGCTCGTGTTCTCCGGCTGTTCTCCGGCCCGCTCGTGTTCTCCGGCTGTTCTCCGGCCCGCTGCTGTTCTCCGGCCCGCTCGTGTTCTCCGGCTGTTCTCCGGCCCGCTCGTGTTCTCCGGCTGTTCTCCGGCCCGCTCGTGTTCTCCGGCTGTTCTCCGGCCCGCTGCTGTTCTCCGGCCCGCTCGTGTTCTCCGGCTGTTCTCCGGCCCGCTCGTGTTCTCCGGCTGTTCTCCGGCCCGCTCGTGTTCTCCGGCTGTTCTCCGGCCCGCTCGTGTTCTCCGGCCCGCTCGTGTTCTCCGGCCCGCTCGTGTTCTCCGGCTGTTCTCCGGCCCGCTCGTGTTCTCCGGCTGTTCTCCGGCCCGCTCGTGTTCTCCGGCTGTTCTCCGGCCCGCTCGTGTTCTCCGGCTGTTCTCCGGCCCGCTCGTGTTCTCCGGCCCGCTCGTGTTCTCCGGCTGTTCTCCGGCCCGCTCGTGTTCTCCGGCCCGCTCGTGTTCTCCGGCTCGTTTAACAGACACATAACGTGTTGAACCGCTGTTTAACTGATGATTCGTGGCTTCATCGTTGGAGTCCGAATCACATAAAGCATCTATTGTCTTCAGGCCGTTTCACATGATGCGTCACATGATGACCTTGTTATGATGTTACGCACTAGTTTATGATTTATATTTAGCATATTAAAGCTGCAGTTGATATGGTTGTATCATAACTAGATGCAGAAGCAGGACGACTCAGGTCTGGATGGTTACTAACTAGTCACTGACAGACTGTTGATCAGTCACATGACCCTCTCAGATTCTCATCGGCCAATAGCACAGAGCCCTTCACTCTTGTGTCGGAATCTAAAATCTACTGACAGTCCTGTCAATGGATAAATTAGAGCATTTGAATAAATATTGTGAAAATTAGATTAATTTAAGATGTTTTATGTGCATCTCACTGGCCATTATAATGAATAGGTTTGATTTACATGACCTTAATAATTTAGCAGATACTTGTATCTTATATAAAATAAATAATCATCAAATTCTGATATGATGCGGATATATAATGTTTATATATGTCTCTCACACACACACATACAGAGTGTATATACAGTAGTCAATATTTGAAGTGGATCAAAACCTTTCATCAAAGTTATACATGAATTTTGAACAACACCCGTTCATGTCTCAGGACAACTTTGATTAACTTTTTTGATCCACTTCAAATGTTGACTACTATATATATATATATTTGTTGTTTGTTTTATTGTTTATTTATATATATTTAAATGTATACATTTTAATTGTATATAGATAGATCGATAGATAGATATGTTTTATATTTTATATATATATATATATATATATATATATATATATATATATACAAATAATCATATATTTGTTTTTATTTATTTATTTATTTCAATTTAATATTTTAATATATATATATATATATATATATATGTGTGTGTGTATAAAAAATGTTGCATATAGGAAATGTTTATTTATATGTATTTATATCTATAAATAGCACTGCTGATTCCGTTGTGTCAGATTGATGGAGGTCTTCTGTCCTCGCAGGGCGACTGTAGTTTTGAGTCCGAGCTCAAGCTGCATCTACAGAAAGAAGATGTTGATGGAACAACAAACCCAAACGCCGACAGAGCCCCTCGGAAGAAGAGGTCAAGATCCCACGAGGCGTCCCGTTCTGAGGCTCAGCGGGGAGAGAACGGCAGGACGTCGGCGAGGCCCATCCCGAGCGCAGAGAACCAGCTCGACACACACGACGGGCTTGATCCCGAGTCCGATCCGTCATCCCAGCACGAGTGTCTGGACTGTCTCCTGGGAGATCCCGAGGACGAGAGCTCGGATCTACAGCACATGTTCTATCAGCCGGAGCAGAACCTCGGTCCGAAACGCTGCCGTCACAGTCTCACGACCAAAGCCTTCCAGAGGATCCTGGCCGATGTGGAGGATCTGCTGTCCGGATCGCCTCCGCAGGAGCTCAGGCTCCCAGACCTCGGCGTTCTCCCGAAGGACACGGCTTCTGATGCGTTCCAGGTGACGTTCAGCCTGGTGTCGGCTAACAGAGAGCTCGAGGATCCCGGGGCTCTTTCTCCGGGCTGGGACGAGCTGTTCGACGACGAGGACGAGGCCTTCACGAGAGCAGAGGAGGAACGGGAAGAGCATCGGGAAAAGGAACTGGAAGAGCATCGGGAAGAGCAGGACAGCGTGGACCTGTTCGGAGACGACGAGGCTTTCCTTCAGCTGAGCGTTCCTGATATCCGGACGCCAGATAAGAGCACTGGACCTGAAGGAGAGCAGGCTGACGAGCACGACACAGGATCCGATCAGGCGTTCCACTGCTCGCAGGACTTCTTCTCTGTAAACTTTGACCTGGGGTTCGAGTCCGAGGACGAGGAGCGTGTCGACGTGACGTCTCGTCCGGTCGCAGGAACCGTGAGATCTCAGCGATCGGACCGTGTGTTCCCGGGTCAGGCGAGACCCAGCGCTTCCACACCGAGCCGTGTGTTCCCGGGTCAGGCGGACCGTGTGTTCCCGGGTCAGGCGAGACCCAGCGCTTCCACACCGAGCCGTGTGTTCCCGGGTCAGGCGGACCGTGTGTTCCCGGGTCAGGCGAGACCCAGCGCTTCCACACCGAGCCGTGTGTTCCTGGGTCAGGCGGACCGTGTGTTCCCGGGTCAGGCGAGACCCAGCGCTTCCACACCGAGCCGTGTGTTCCCGGGTCAGGCGAGACCCAGCGCTTCCACACCGAGCTGTGTGTTCCCGGGTCAGGCGAGACCCAGCGCTTCCACACCGAGCCGTGTGTTCCCGGGTCAGGCGAGACCCAGCGCTTCCACACCGAGCTGTGTGTTCCCGGGTCAGGCGAGACCCAGCGCTTCCACACCGAGCTGTGTGTTCCCGGGTCAGGCGGACCGTGTGTTCCCGGGTCAGGCGAGACCCAGCGCTTCCACACCGAGCCGTGTGTTCCCGGGTCAGGCGAGACCCAGCGCTTCCACACCGAGCTGTGTGTTCCCGGGTCAGGCGAGACCCAGCGCTTCCACACCGAGCTGTGTGTTCCCGGGTCAGGCGGACCGTGTGTTCCCGGGTCAGGCGAGACCCAGCGCTTCCACACCGAGCCGTGTGTTCCCGGGTCAGGCGGACCGTGTGTTCCCGGGTCAGGCGAGACCCAGCGCTTCCACACCGAGCTGTGTGTTCCCGGGTCAGGCGAGACCCAGCGCTTCCACACCGAGCCGTGTGTTCCCGGGTCAGGCGGACCGTGTGTTCCCGGGTCAGGCGAGACCCAGCGCTTCCACACCGAGCTGTGTGTTCCCGGGTCAGGCGAGACCCAGCGCTTCCACACCGAGCCGTGTGTTCCCGGGTCAGGCGGACCGTGTGTTCCCGGGTCAGGCGAGACCCAGCGCTTCCACACCGAGCCGTGTGTTCCCGGGTCAGGCGGACCGTGTGTTCCCGGGTCAGACCACTCCATCTCTGAGGACAGAGCTGTTCCAGCGGGGTCTCTCCAGTGCAGGTGACGAGTGTGTTCCCAGTCAAAAAACTATAGTACAAAATACTATATTATCATCAAATACTGGATTCAATCTTTTAGTCAACTTGGTTTTCTTCCCATTAGCACAGTTTTGTGTGTGTGTGTGTGTGTGTGTGTGTGTGTGTGTGGATCTGAGTGATCGTAGGCTTCATTGAGTTTATGCTCCTCAGTTTATGAGTGAAAGGTTCAGTCAAGCTTCTTCAGCTCAGATATATATATAAAAAGGCAAGGCAAGTTTATTTATATATAGCACATTTCATACACTATGGTAATTCAAAGTGCTTTACACAGAAAGGAATTAAAATAATCACAAAATAAAAGCAAGGAAAATTAAAACCGTTATAAAAGGAACTAAAAGAGTAAAAATATGATGCATTGATAAACTTCTCATCTGGCAAAACACCGGTGTATCATATTTTTCACAGCTGCTCGTATATGCAGTATATTCAATATTCATATAAATGAACAAAAAATTTTTTTTCAAAATTTAACAACAAAAATGAACCGTCACTGAACTTAAGCTGGACTGTGACGCTTTTCTCTTCTACTTCTATTGTCCTGTTATCTCTGTAAAGCTGCTCTGAAACTCTGTGTTGTAAAAAGCGCTGTATAAATAAAGGAGACTCGACTGAAACACAAAGTCTGGGACGGAAAGAACACAAGTGGACTAAAAGATTGAATCCAGTATTTGGTGCTAACGTAGCATAACCAGAGATTTAAGCTATTTTTTAAACCCAAAAAGCACAAAACTGATCAAACATGCACGTGTCACACATATGGGCCGAATAATGCTGGCTGAATATAATATACTGTATTTGGCTGTTATAATATAATTACTGTATTATGAACCGGCACACGCCTACAAACCCTGTGCGCTTGTAATGTCGCTTACGGCTTCCTCTTTATGCAAAGCTGGTTTTCTAGGACGAAGCATAAGCTGACGAACCGGTTGTGTGTGTGTGTGTGTGTGTGTTTCAGGTGTGTTGAGCAGCGACAGCGAGGGCGAGACGCCTCTCCGGACTTCAGCTCAAAGGGCCAGTCCAGGGTTTTCTCCAGAGGTCAGACTGCTGTCAGATGTGTCATGTGACACTAGTTTCCCTCCACATAAACACTAACATGCACTTAAAATGCTCATAACAACATATGCTCTCAGTTTTTATCTGATAAGATGTCACGCACATAAACTAAGACGGAAACACTTTTCCAGAATAAATCCCTCAAAGCTCATGTGACTCAGCAGAGGCTGTGATTGGATAACTGGAGTAACCAGCGGACCAATGGCATCGCAGCGTCTCTAATGAAACGCAGAGTCTGTCATCAGAATGATTTGGTGACGCTTTACAGTCCGCTTCCATTTAATGTTAGTTAACAATGGAAAACACTTCTAATCATTTATTAATCTTAGTTAATGATACTTTACTGATTCATTATTAAAATCAGAAGTTGTATCTGTTAATATTGTTTATCTGAGCTGACACAGCTTTATTTTTATCAACTAAGATTAATACATTCTGTAACAAATGCATTGCTCATTGTTAGTTAATGGCACCTTATTGTGAAGCGTTGAGTATCATCATGTCTCTCACTATTGTGTTCATAGTCACTCCTTATGTAGGAGAGAAGAGTCTCAGGCTTTACTGTTTGTTCATCATCCTCTCTTTTATGACTGATATTTTGCACCAGTTTCCCAGGAAGTGACGCTTTTGTTCTCTTGTAAACATGGGATGGAAACACTGCAAAAGTCTATGCCATATTCTGACTATTCACACAAGTTTAATTAGCATCTTTGGATGAAAGCAGCAAGTTTCTCTGCTGAGATGAGTGATTTAGAAGTGATGCAAACGTGTGTGTGTGTGTGTGTGTGTGCGCAGTCAAAGATGTGCAGTGACGTGGAGTCTCCGGTTCAGGCTCGCAGGAAACCCGCCGCTGCGCTGAGCACGGTACGACTGCGCTTCAGTGGCTCGCGTTACGCTGTGTTTTCGCCATCGTTTTCACTGTCGTGTTTTTCAGTCGGAGGACAGTGATGATTTCCAGGAGGCGGCTCTTCATCGGCCCAGAGACGCGAAGCCCCGTCACGGCAGAGAGCCTCGCGTACGTCACACACCACTGGAACACGACCACACAGGAGAAGCGCTGTGTCGAGTCTCCTTTATTTATACAAGTTTCACAGCAGCTTTACTGAGATAACAGGACAATCATGACACACAGTTTGTTTATAGAAGAGAATAGCGTCTCAGTCCAGCTTAAGTAAGTTCAATGATGATTCATTTCTGTTGTAAAAAGTTATTAATTTAGTTCATTTATATATATAGCGGCTCTGGAGAAACCGTGATGTCATCGTCCAGCTCTGTTCAGTCTCATATAATGCTGTCAATACAGGAGATCAATAATATTGCTGAATATTAAATGTGTCTTCCAGAAGGTTCTGCGTCGCAAGGCCCGGCAGTTTCTGGACGAGGAGGCCGAGCTCTCGGAAGAAGAAGAGGTTTCGTCCGATGAAGATGATGGAGATGAACAGAACCGTTCACTGCAGGGGTTTGTGGTCAACACGACCCAGTGCTCTCAGGGTCTGAACGGTGAGATCCGCTGAACACACACACACACACACACACACACACACGACCCAGTGCTCTCAGGGTCTGAACGGTGAGATCCGCTGAACACACACACACACACACACACACACACACGACCCAGTGCTCTCAGGGTCTGAACGGTGAGATCCGCTGAACACACACACACACACACACACACACACGACCCAGTGCTCTCAGGGTCTGAACGGTGAGATCCGCTGAACACACACACACACACACACACACACACACACACACACACACATGACCCAGTGCTCTCAGGGTCTGAACGGTGAGATCCGCTGAACACACACACACACACACACACACACACGACCCAGTGCTCTCAGGGTCTGAACGGTGAGATCCGCTGAACACACACACACACACACACACACACACACATGACCCAGTGCTCTCAGGGTCTGAACGGTGAGATCCGCTGAACACACACACACACACACACACACACACACACGACCCAGTGCTCTCAGGGTCTGAACGGTGAGATCCGCTGAACACACACACACACACACACACACACACGACCCAGTGCTCTCAGGGTCTGAACGGTGAGATCCGCTGAACACACACACACACACACACACACACGACCCAGTGCTCTCAGGGTCTGAACGGTGAGATCCGCTGAACACACACACACACACACGACCCAGTGCTCTCAGGGTCTGAACGGTGAGATCCGCTGAACACACACACACACACACACACACACACACGACCCAGTGCTCTCAGGGTCTGAACGGTGAGATCCGCTGAACACACACACACACACACACACGACCCAGTGCTCTCAGGGTCTGAACGGTGAGATCCGCTGAACACACACACACACACACACACACGACCCAGTGCTCTCAGGGTCTGAATGGTGAGATCCGCTGAACACACACACACACACACACACACACACGACCCAGTGCTCTCAGGGTCTGAACGGTGAGATCCGCTGAACACACACACACACACACACACACACACACACACACACACACACACACACGACCCAGTGCTCTCAGGGTCTGAACGGTGAGATCCGCTGAACACACACACACACACACACACACACACACACGACCCAGTGCTCTTAGGGTCTGAACGGTGAGATCCGCTGAACACACACACCACACACACACACACACGACCCAGTGCTCTCAGGGTCTGAACGGTGAGATCCGCTGAACACACACACACACACACACACACACGACCCAGTGCTCTCAGGGTCTGAACGGTGAGA